TGGAGGGTCCTCAAAAAATTGAAATAGAACTATCATATGATCCAGCAATTTCACTTCTGGGTATTTATTCATAGAAAACCAAAACAGTTACTTGAAAGGGTATCTGCACCCTCATGTTCATTGCAGTCTTATTTACAACAGTCAAGACATTGAAGCAATCTAAGTATCCATGATGGATGAATGGGTAAAGAAAATGTGTGTTTGTGTGGGTATACATATATGCATATAAATATGTATATATAGTTATATATTATATATAGTATATAAAAATTATTCAGCCATAAAAAAAGAATGACATCTTGCCTTTTGTGACAACATGGATGGACCTTGAGGACATTGTGTTAAGTGAAATAAGTCAGACAAGGAAAAACAAATACTGCATGATCTCAATTATATGTGGAGTCTAAAAACAAAACAAGACAAATTGAACTCCTAGATGCAGAGAACAGATTGGTGGTTGCTAGAGGTCGAATTTGGGGATGCGTGAAATGGATAAAGGTGGTCAAAAGGTAAAAACTTCCAGTTATAAAATAAATAAATCATGGAGATGCCATATACAGCATGGCAACTATAGTTTAAATAATACTGTATTGCATATTTGAAAGTTGCTGAGAGAGTAGATGTAAAAGTTCTCACCGTAAGAAAATAAAATTTGTGACTGTGTGGTGACAGATGTTAACTAGACTTACTGGGTGATCATTGCACAGCGTATACAAATAATCAAATTTTTATGTTGTACATCTGAAAGTAACATAATGGTCTGTGTCAATTATATCTCAAATTTAAAGAAATGACCAAGTATTAGTACATAAAGCAGCAAATTTCAGTGACTCATGGAGTCCACATTTTCTTACCTATTTGCAATTAAAACTAAATCACATAAATAATAATAAATACCATATACTTGGTAATTTTACCAACATTCTTCTCAGTAACTGTGGAGTAAAAGAAGTCTTAAGGGAAATTAAAAAACAGAGTTACACAATAATGGAAATACAACATTTTTGGAATTCAGTGGGAAGTTTATTACACAAAAAGAAGAAAGGCTGAAATGTTGTGACTTAAGCATCCAAGTTGAGAAGTTAGAATGAGAGGAACAGATCAAACCTGAAGAAAGGGGAAAGAAACAGAGAGCAGAAATTAATGAACTAAAAGACCAAGATTCAGTAGAATCAAAAAAATCAAAAGTTAATTCTTTAAAAATACTAATAAAATTGACAAACCTCTCATGAGATAAGAAAAAAGAATTCACAAATGTATTAGGAACAAAGGAAATACAATTACAATTACATTAATTTAAAAAATTAACAAAGGTTTAAAAGATAAAATTATATATAGTATTTTTTGAGGTCAACAAATTAGAAAACTTGAAATGCATAAATTCCTAGAAAGAAAAAAACCTAAAATCAATTCAGGATTAAAAAATAAAAAATACCAGAAGTGGAAAAAGGCACTTTCTACATATAAACATACACACTAACATACACAAACCCAAACAAGGATCACCATCTAGATGAACCTGGAAAAAATTCCTAGAAATCAATTAAATTCTTTATGAAAATGATGAATAAGTATGTTGCTAGTCATGAGAGAAATGGAAATTAAGGCACATGAGATACCATTTTACTTTCAGTAGATTGGCGAAAATAAGAAATCTTACAAAGGAGAGTGTAGATCAAAGGGAATTCTTACACATTTCTGGTAGTACAAAGTATAGTCAGTTGGAAATAGAATGGAAATCAATTTGGTGTTACCTTGAAAAGTGAAACATTTGAATATCTGCTGAGTTGACACTTCTACTTTTAGGTATGCCCTGTAGAAAGTCTCTTCTATACAAGAGGACATGCGTGAGAATGTTCCTAGCCTAGCTGTTCCTAGAGGCAAAAAAATTTAAAAAGTTCAAATGTCCATCAGTATAAAAATAGTTAAGCAGATAATATAGTTACACAATGAAATGTTATATAATAGGAAGAAATGAATAAACTACAGGTATACTTAAAGATGAGTTTAAGAGAGATTTAGTGGGGAATAAAAAAACAATTCTCAGAAAGCTGTATTCAGTATGAACCACTTACTAAAGCCCCCCAAAAAGTGAGACTAAAAATATATTATTTAGGAATATATGTATAAGTGATAAAACAAAAAAAAATGTGAAGAAAATAGTGAACATCAAATACAGAATCATGGTTACTTATAGGGAGCACGGTAGGAGGACAAGCTAGGGGAGGGGTATGGAGGTAGATATGACAGTATTGATAAAGCCTTGCTTGTTAGGTTGGATAGAAGAGTTTAGGGTGTCTGTTTTATTATAGTCAGCCCCCTTGATCTGAGGTTTTCACACTCACAAATTCAACCAAAGATAGAAAATATTCCAAAAAAAAAAATTCCAGAAAGTTCCAAAAAGCCAAACTTGATTTGCCATGTGCTAGTAACTGTTTACCTAGCACTTACATTGTATTTACAACTACTTGCCTAGCATTTGCATTGTATTAGGTTTATAAATAATCTAGAAGTGATTTAAAGCATATGGAGGATACGAATAGGTTATATGCAAATACTGCACCACTTTATACAAGGGACTTGAGCATTCACAGATTTTTGTAAGCCTGGGGGTCCTGGAAACAATCCCCTGCAGATACTGAAGGACTATACTTCATATACATTACGTATATTCTTTCCTGTGTATCAAGTATTTTATTACAATGTAGAAAGATTCAGTTGTAAAATCAAAGACTTGTTTTCTTACAAAAGCTTACTGAATGGAAGTATAGCTGTTCTAAGATATATGAATGGAATTAACTGAAATGTAATAGTTTATTAGTATTAAATAGGTCTGTCTATTGACTTAAGTAAGTCAGACCTGATCCTTGATTAATAAGAACTCAACGAGGTTTTATAGTTGTAATTTTAATAAAATACCATTTCAAAGTTTCTAATATAATTATGCCTGATACATAGGAAATGTTGCATAAATATGTTTTTCCTTTCTTCTAGTCAAAAGGTCAGTGCAGAGGAATCTGCATTTTAAAAATATCTGTGGTCTACTAAAAAATAATTGTTTCATATTATGAAAAACGCCTGTGTGGTTCCAGTTTGTGCTGCTGTGTGTAGTAGTGTTCAATTTCTTTTGTGCAGACTAGACTTCAGTTAGTGTTGAACAAAGAAAATTATGTGCTCTCGTTACGTGTGCTTTAATTTAGATGCTTAATGGCTTTTAATGTTACAAAATAAGTTTATTATTATATTATCTCATTTGTATTATATTGTCTTGCTCTTCCTTATTTGTGGTGATATGGTCATGGTTTAGGAAAACAATAATCCCTAAGAAATAGGTCATTAACAGTAGTTAACGATTACGTGTGATCTATGGTAATGACTGATTTCTTTGGGATTATTGCAGTTATAAACCATAATTACAGATTATTACAGCAATAATTATTTTGTTAAAGGAAAGAAAAACATTCTGTTCTTCAACAGCTGCTAAAACAAGTGCCCTGAACAATTCAGAATAAATAGAAAAATGGAGAACTGTAGTGGAAATATAGTCTAGGATGAGATTTTTTTCAAAATGTATAAATATGAAACTCATGTATAGGATATTTAAATTTCTAAGTGCAACTTAAATTTATGGATTTACGTTTAAACTTTGTGGATATAATCCTATAACCAATGTAACTTTTTAGCATTTATTTTAAATACTGTCAGTCTAGAATTGTAGAGGTTTAGGGAAAGGTTTAATGTATATGAGAAATACCACTTCTCATTCGGTTAAATATGAAGATTACATTTGGTAGCTTAATAAAAATGGCTTTATACTTCATTGTTCATTTCTAACACTAATATTGATTTATTCAATCAATAGTTGTTAAACTTTTAGGGTTAGAAATGCCTGTTTTTCTGTCTTATACAACAGAAATCACTGCTTTCTGAAACCAAGAAAGAATAAATTACATTCTGCTTTCCTCTAAATAATTAAACTTCCATTCAGAATTTGCCATATTTTAGGAAAAAAATGCTCCCAGTTAATCACATGTTATTTTTGCATAGCATTCCTTGATAGTAAAGCCTTTTTTTTAGCATCACAGAATAAAATGAATTAAAGAATAAAAAAATGAAACTTTGAGAAATTCATGTCTAAATTTACTATTAGACAATGATGCTCATCACACTGCATTGAAAAAGTAATTTTTTCCTTTTATCTGTCTCTCTCACTAGGTTCAATTCCTTGGGCATGGGATTTCTCTCCCTCTTCTCATCCTACCTCATACATATTTAGTTATGTCTCAGTGAGCAGAAAATGATACATAGATACTCAGCCAATGAATTTTCTGAAAATTCTTGGGAATTTTTTTTTGTCAGTTTGGGGTTTTTGCTTGTTTTATAAACAACATTAAGAAAGCAAATACAGCTAACTGTAACTGGCTTTAATTGGAGCAAGTCTCTTTGGTAGAGAGGAAATAAATTAAAAATTCTTAAATATTGTATGACAGTTTTCTTGTGTAGCTTCTTAAATAAAACTTAGGATGAACATATAAATGTTACATATTGGTATATTTTATGGCTTTTGCAGCTATGATACAGAAGAACTAAAATGGGTATAGCTATTTAATAATAATAGTAATATAATAATAATAATAATAATAATTAAAAAAACAGTAATAGTGGCCAACATTTACTCAGCACTTACAGCAGACATTTAAGTACTTTATGTGCAGAATACCACTTAGTGCTGTTAGAAGCCTATGAGCCAGTTACTCTCATCTTCTTATCTATAAATGAGGAAATGAAAGCCAAAAAAGATTGAGTAACTAGCATAATAAATAGTAGAAGCAAAATTCAAACCCAGGGTATGCTCTTGGTACCTAAATTGTGTTGCCTCCATTTTTAAATGAAAGTTTGCTTATTTGAAATCCAACAAATATGTATTCCCTGTGTCTCATAGACTTGGTTTTATAGTGGGTGGTTTGGGAATCAACTTTTTTTTCCTTATTATATATTAGGACGTCTTGCCTGGCTGGTATACTTAGTTGGGACAGTTGTTGGAGGAAGATTAACATATACAAGTACAGATGAGCATGATGCTATGGATGGAGAATTATCCTGTCGGTAAGTGTAGCTATGTAATTTACAGAAATTTCTAAGGAGTTAGACATTTTTAGTTATTAAACTGGTAATATGAACTAAAGCATTTTTCAGTTGGCATTTTGAGGAAGGTATCATTTTCCTTTATATTGATAAGAAAAGCAAGGCTTAGAGGTTAAATGATTTGCAGAACTCATATCTCTAATAAGTAGTGTAGTCACATAAATTTATATGAATAAAATGAGTGAGTTGGTTTTCCATATATTTTATTTTTAATAACTACTGTCATTTTGGTAAGGATCTTTGCATATTTTAATTAATATTTGAGAGTATATGTACCTTACATGTGTATTTTTCAACTTTTTCCAACAAAAATTATAATATTGTTTTATAAACTAAAATGGGGATAATAATAATAAGAAGAAGAATACCTAATTCATTTGGGACTATTATCTAAGGATAAATGGGTTAATAATTTTAAATTGCTTAAAACAATGCTTACAAAAGACCCCAAACACTTATTTTTTTGAAAATCAGTCATAATAGTATGAACATTTTACCTAGACATGAAATATTCTAAACTTTACCATAATTCAAACAGATCCTTCTTTTGGGAATTTTAGGTGGTTTCTCAGTTTTTTCTTATTTTAAAGGTGAATATTCTTTTAGTTGTATCTTTATGTAGATCAAAATAACTTTATTAGAGTTAAGTCCTAAAAGCTGAATAGCTGATTGAATTCTGTATAGCATTTTGAAGACTTTCAATACACGTTACCAAGTGGCCTTCTGTAAAAGTTGTACCAGTTTATCCTCTGAACTCAAAAGACTATGGGAGGCTATCATTTTTTCTACAGTTGAACACTAGGTAGTAGGGTTCTTATCTTTGCCGGTTTATAGATAACAAATGTATTGTTTTAATTTGTATTTCTTTAGTCAAGACATTCTTTTCCATTCCTTTTCTTGCCGTTTCTATTTTCTCTTTATTTTTTATTATATAGAGAGTATATCATTCACCTGGTTTTATGATTATCTTTTCTAATGTATCCATAAGAACCCAGTATATATCAAAGATTGTAATATTTTGCTATTCATTTTGAGTATATTTTCTCCAATGTTCAATTTATTTTAGAAATTTCTTTTTTATATATATATATTATATATATAAAATTATTATATATAAATATTTATATATTCAGATCTATTAATTTTTTCTTTGATTTTTTTTCAATGCTCATATTTAGAAAGGTTGTTCCACACCTGGATAATAAAAATATTCACCTATATTTTCTCCTGGTTCTTTTATGGTTTATGTTTTTATATTTAACTTTTGATATATCTAACATTTATTTTGTTTATATGCTTTTTTGGAAGGTTCCAAGGTGTTAACCAAGTAATGTCAACCCTACCCTCTACTGATTTGTAATGCCACTTATATCTTACACAGAATTCTTATGTCTTTTTCTAGGCTGTTCATTCTTCCCCACTGATCTTAGAAGTCTATTAGTACACCACTGTCACACTACTGAAGTCATTAGTGTGGTATTCTCCCTCATTATTATTCTTAAATATATTCCTAAGTGTTTAATAGATTTGTTGCCGTCTTGAGTAGATACCTCCCCCTCATTCCATATCCTTTTCAACCTTTAACCTACCTGTTTTCAATGAAATTTGAATCTGAATGGAACATAAATATTTTTAGTATTTTTAAGATTTATTATTTCCAATATCAAACCACTTTAAAATTTGGGGGCGCTCTCAAAATGCTTTGATCAGTTTTAAATGAAGTGAATGATTTGCCTCTGTACCATCTTTTAATATAACATTACATATTTAGTAAAGTGGGAATTAAGTATACGTTAATTTTTTCTTTAACTAACAAATGAATTTAACTTTAAATAAGATTTGTTTTCTGTTTTAGTCTATATTCCCTAGAGAAAAAAACCTTGAGTGAAGTTTATGGACTAATACTTTTTGGAGGGTGGGGAGAAGGATACATTTTCAAGGAAGAAAGAATGAAGGAAAAGTGAGTGAGAGAATCAGAGAAAACAAGTAGAGCTGATTCTCATTATTCATGGATTCTGTTTTTGCAAATTTGTATACTTGCTAAAATTTGTTAACCCCCAAACCAGTACTCTTCATTGTGTGTATAGTAGTGAAAAATTTGAGTTGTCCAGTGCGTACTTTTCCAGCTGAGATGAAGCAGACGCTCTGCCTCCTTGTTTCAGTTTTCATACTGTAAATGCTTGTCCTTTTTGCTATCTATTTAGTCCCATGTTTTCACATTTTTGTGCTTTTCATTGGTGATTATGCTGTCTAAGATGTCCCTCCAGCATAGTGAAGTGCTGTCCAGTGTTCCTAAGCACAAGAAGGCTGTAGTGTGCTTTACAAAGAACATACATGTGTTAGGTAAGCTTTCTTCAGGCACAAGTTGTAGTGCTATTGGCTATGAGTTTGATGTTAATAAATCAGCGATATATACCAGATAAGGTGTTTTTAAACAGAAACACACATAAAACAGGCTATATGTTGATCAGTTAATGAAAATATTGTGACCAGAGTTCCTCAGGAACCTGTCCCTGGAAACAGTGGGATATATTTGTGGGTGTTTAAACAAGGCCAAAGAGATTTAAGATAGGGTATGTACTAGGACTTATGCACATTGTCTAGAAAAAACATATATACGTATTTTAACATACTGAGACGTTAAATAAGAATGATGTTTTATGTAAAATTTTAAAATACCAGTTTCATATGAAGAAATTCCAGGTAACTGGAACTGTAATACTGTTTCCTTCTCTGTGTGTTACATAACCTTTTTAGCTCCTGGGAGAGCACTACCAAATTAGAATATTGAGAAGCTCCTGCCAAAAATCTGTGTTATTTTATCAGGGGAAGTTTGATATTCATAGAAGTTTTCAATATTGTGGTAATTATACTTTAAACTTGTTACTTAAACATATGTAAATATGCTACTTTAACTTAGCAAATAAATATCTTTGTGCCCAGGCCACACAATTCTAATTAAATAAAGATAATTTTATAGTCATTTTAGTTTTATTCGTCGTGACCAGAGTGTAAACGTCTTGGGAGAGCCCACAGCAGTTTTGACTTGCCCTGTGTCCTCTGTTTGCTAATGCTTTGCTAGTGACTGCTGTTTTTCGGCTTGCTCCTCTCAGTGAGGCCACCTTATGTTTCTCCATGTTACTCTTGCCTGTTCATCTCCCAGACAGCTCTCATGATTCACTGAAGACTTCGGCAAGTAGCTCAGAGTTTTGCTCTCTGTCCTAAACCCTGCTATGATACAGATGACTTCAGGTTCTTTCTCAGCAGGTACTGTTGCTTCCTTTTCTCTACTCAGAAGCTTCCAGTGGCTTCCTGTGACATATGAGACAAATTCCAGATTCTTGCCATGGCCCAAAGTGTACTGTGCTACTTCTGACCTCATTTCTGATCCTTTTTCATTCAACTCAGCTATGTACACTGGCATCCTTGCTATTCTCTGAGTATTACCAATTTGTTTTTGCTTTAGGGCCTTTACACTTCTCTTCTGCTAGGAATGCTTCCTGCCAGATGTTTACATGGTACTCCTTCACTTCAGTCAGGTCTGTTCTCATATGTCTACCTCGTTTGACCTTCCTATGCAAAATAACATCCTTATCCTGTTTATTTTTCTTCATAGTACTTATTACCTCTTAGTATTTTATTTGTTTATTCTACTAGACTAGTTTTATCTGCTTTGTTCACTGCTGTATTTTTATCTCATCTGCTTTGCAAAACCTAAACTCTAAAGAAATTCAGAGTTTTCTCTTAATTTGTTGTGTGATAAAAGAAGTTGTTCACCTCTGTTGATAGGTACCATTGCCAACTAAGATACCATATTTTTTAACTCAACTGAGCCCTCAGCATTGCTCAGTGATTCTTTGTTGTTTTAATAGTTCTTGTCTTCTGACTTCCGAATATTTATTGAACTGTTTTACTTGTGTATTCTGTCCCCCATGTGCCTCTAATTCAGTGACCAAAATTAAACTCATCTCCTCCATCCACTCCCAGCCCTGACTCTCTTTATAAGTCTCAAAGTTGTCCACTCAGTTGCCTAAGCCTGAATCCTTTGAATTCTCCTTAACTTTTTCTTTTTCTCTCACCAGCATCCATATGTCATCAAATCCTGTCAGTTCTATTTATCCCAGTTAGTCCAGTTATTTCTATCACCCCTGCCATTTTAACTCCTGTCATCATTTATCTGGATTCATGCTACAGTTTTAAATGCACACCTTGTCTTCTCTCTGGCTTTCTAAAACAAAAACTTGATTGTGTCTGTGCTTTGCTTAAACTCTGCAAGGACTTTCATTGCTATTGGAATTAAAATCAACATGGTGTATCAGGCTCTTCATGATCTGGATTCTGCCTTCTCATTAGCCTCATCTCCTGCCACTGACTTCTTGATACCCATTTTGAACCTTTTTTTCAGCTCTTAAATGAGTCATGCTTTTTATTTCCTGTCTAAATAGCTGCACATGGATTCCCCTTTCTCTCTTTTTGCTATGTTCTATCCATGAATTTTAGGAATTCTTGCTAATTTCTTCATAGTGTTGATTATAGCAATGTCATGCCCTATTCTGAATAGGCTATAGATTTCTGGAGGACTGGGAATAATATGTTTTGCTTACTGTTGTATTCTGAACTTCTGCAGATACCTGCCATATAGTAGGCCCTCAAATATTTGTTGACCAAATAAATACTTACATAATTAGATAGTCAGGGGAATATAAAACAATTGATTATCCAAAATTTATTTCTTTGTATTTGAAATGTTATGCTTATATTTGGATCAAAATTACTTAATGATATATTTATCTTTATTTTTTCCATGCTTCAAAGATAATTTAAGATAAAGGTAAAATAAGTGTAGAACAATAAACTGAAACTGAAAGTGGACTTTGTGTATACAATACAAGCTTTGGTCTTAAGCACTGGTTAGAGGTGGCAGCAGATTTTTGAAGGGCACTGTGACAGAGGCTACTAGTTGTCTCATATCTCTTCTTTCCTTCTTCTGCAGAAATAGAATACTTGAAATGTTCTGCTGGGCATTGGCCACCTGAATAAAGACTAGATTTCCTAGAATCTCTTGCAGCTAGATATGGTTAAATGATTATGTTCTGGGCAATTGGAATGTAAGTGAATGTAGTATGTGTAACATATATGCTCATATGAGTAAAGCTGAAGAAGCCGTCTTAGACTTAGACAATAAAATCGGTGAATGGAGGCAAGTGTAACAACAGGATAGAAGGAACCTGAGTCCCTGTTACACTGTGGAACACCAGCTAGTCCTAGAACATTGTGTTGGATTTTTGCCTGAGAGAGAATAAATATCTGTATAGTTTAAGTTATTGTTATTTTGAATTTCAGGCACTGGAAGCTGAACTTCTTGTGCAACTTTCAAAGCTTATTAAGCAAATGGGTCATGTACCTTTCTGGGAACTCTTTCCTACTCTCCTGTTGCAGATGTCATTGCCTCTTAGGCAAATGCAAATCATCAGCTTAAAATGAGTTGTGAAGGCACCCCAACAAACTTGTCTTTTGGTTTCATGTCTTCCTCAGTTTTTGGGAATGTATGCTATAAAAAGGAAGTAAAAGTAAACAGACCAGTATATAGAATTGACAAAGAACTAGAGTAGGAGAAGGGAGGTCCTACTCAATACAGAATTTGAAAGCAAGCTATACTTTATTTAAAAATCACTTGAAAAATCACCTGGATCCGGAAATGAAGTTTGATGTGTGTATCTATCTAACTAAAAATTTCTTCAGCAGTCTGTGTACTCACCAATACGCAGACATTAAAAATCAGTTTGGTCTCTCCTCTCAAAATTAGAGAATAAACTCATCGTCTTAGGAAAAACTAACAAACCTCAATAGTAATCTGATTCTTAAATTTGACCTTTATTAAGCTTTCCTTCATGAATTTTAATGGTATTAAAGATACTTAGTAAGTGAAAGGTACTTTTAAATAAGTAGCTTAATACAGGAAACAGTAACTATAAAAATGGTTGTCAAAATATTTTTTCATAACATGTTGGCAGTAAGTACCAAGTTTTTTTAAGTTCATTTTCTGTAACCCAGACATTTTGTTTCTGAAACTCTTTGCTGGGAGGGAAGAGGACAGTAGTTACATTTCAGTGAAATATAAGTTTATATTAAAAATGAGGTTTTAAAAATTTGACATAGCCTTAATATACAATGTTTTGGAAAATTATTTAGTCGTATAAAAATGATTGGGCAAGATATATTTAATGAGATGTATTAGTGGAATAAAATAGAAGGTCCAGTAAGTAATCTAAATGCGTAAATGAACCTACTGTATATGATAAGGGGTAATTCAAAATGCTGAGCAGAAGATAGACTATATAAGAAAGAAATGGTGTTGAAGCAGCTGGGTAGCCATCTGGGGAAAAATGTTGATGCATATCTCACAAGATACGTTCAGGATAAGTTCAAATGTATCATAGAGGTAAATGTAAAATGATGAAACATAGAAACACCTCGGATTCAGGTAAGACCTTGTTATTATGCAAAATCCAGAAGAGAAAAAATTGGTAAGATTTTCTGCATAAGAAAAAGAAAAAAAATTTTATGCATGGCATTAAAAAAACACCATAATCAAAGCCAAGGGACAAATGAAAAACAAGGAAAAATATTTACATCTCAGTCACAGGCAAAGGGCTTGTTTTTCTAATATCTAAAGAATTTGTAGAAATTAGCAATTGAAAGATAACCCAATAGAAAAAAATCAACAAAGGATATGAGCAAACAGGTCACAGGAAAGGACATACATATGGCTCAAGAACATGGAAAAAAATTGAACTTCTCATTCATGAGAAAAATACAGATTAAAACTTTACTGAGATATAGTTTTTCAGATTTCAGTAAATTTTAAAGTTTAATATCACCTTGAATTATCCATGTGTATATAGATACTCATATACTGATGATGGGAGTATAAATTGTTTCAATTTCTTTGGAAGGCAATTTAGTAATGGCTATCAAATAATAAAATTCATATTGTTTAAGCTGTTTGACATTTAGAGGTGTATATTGTAACTGTACGTGTGTGAAATGTGTACAGGATTATTAATTCCTGCGTTTTTGTAGCAGCAAAAAATAAATAACTTTAGTGTCCATCAGTAGGACACTATTGTTTGAAAATAATGTGGTATGTTCATATAATGGAGTGATAAAGAGCTGCAAAAGAAAATAAGGAAACTTTTTATATCTGACATGGAAAAATGTGTAAGATACATTATTAAATGGAAAAAGCTAGGTTTAACAATGTAACAGTATAGTATGCTCCATACGTGTAAAAGAACTAGAAGGAGAATATATAGTCATATTTGCTTGTACATACATTTAAAAAATCTCTGAAACGACGAACTATTAGTAGCGTGTGTGTGCGTGCGCGCTTGCGTGCATACAGGAAAGGAAATAAGTGGGTTAGGGCTAGGTATAGCTGCCTTTGTGCAGTTAGAAAAAGGAGAAATAGGTGCTATTTCCTCCAAAACTTCTGCTTCCGTCTCTTAAAAAGATTATTACGATTTGCTGATTTTCTTAGCACCAGATACTTGACAGCCATCTACTGGAAAATTTTAATTAAAATAGATAGTAGAGGGTGTTTCTAGACTAAGCTTTTTTTTTTATTAAGCTTTTTCTCTAAGAAATTTAACTTAGCCTTTAGTTCATTTATGATTTTCTGATAATAGTTGCATACATGTATTGAAAATATTTGATTTTGTTAAGATCATCTTGTAATGTATTTCAGGTAAAATTTTTATTTCTCATTAAGAAAGCGATATAGCTGGATGGATGTACCTCCTGATTTTTTGTGTGTGTTTTGAATTCTGTGATTCCAAAATATATAGTTATATGAAAATATGTTGTAATGAAAAAGTATAATACCAAACTACACATTCAGTGTCATTTTCTTTTACTAAAATATTATATATGTAAATATATGTTAATATCTATATTTATATAACATTTATAATTGTAGATATTTACTTATATCTATGCATATATATTTATATATGTCATGTATTTATATATGAATTTTTAGCAAAATTATAAATGTATGTTTATGTAGGTTTGTATGCATGTATATGTATATGTATTTCTTATGAGAAAGCTAGAAGGAATTAGACCAAATTGTAGTATCTCTTGGTAGGATTTCAGATGATTCTTTAAATATTTTCTTTATAAGCTTTTGTATTTTTCCACTTTTTATAGTGATTATATATTATATAAAATTGATAGTAAGTGTTTTAATGTTGTTTCTCTAAGAATTATTATTGATTTTTTTTTCCTTCATGTAAAGAGTTTTTCAGCTTATATCTTTAATGGATGCCGGACTGCCTCAGTGTTCTAATGAGAAAATAGAGCTTGCAGTTCTCTGGTTCTTGGATCAGTTTCGTAAAACGTATGTTGGTGATCAACTTCAAAGAACCTCAAAGGTAGGTTTTTACTAGTGATCAAAACAAATATTATTAAAGATGAAGAAAGATGTTCACATATAACAGCTTTAAGCTGAAAGGTATATTTGGGCAATTTCTACATAAGAAATTTAATTGATTAGTTGAAATCAGTTGGTTAATTGGTGTTTGAAGGCATTGTGACATTGCTCGTTTTATGCCCAGATTTACCATTGTCTTTAAAGATTGATTGGCAGAGTTAGTGAATATTTTTTATGTGGCTAATCATTAAATAGTTAAGATTATTTTAAACACCTTAATGAATTTTGCCTTATTGTATTGTGTTTCAAGTTTTAAAAAAGATTTACTCTTATAGTTGTTCTGAGTTTTTCTTGAATATTTATTTACGTGGTTTCCAGTATATATTTTTCAGTCATTCCTCGGCATTTTTACATGATAAATGATGAGGACAAGAAGAATATGACATGCTTTGAGAGGCCACAGTTAACTTACCCTCATGTGGGGAACACTTGTACTATGGTACTTGAAAGTTTAGCATCAGCAAGTTTAGATGAATTGCTCTTAAGGCATTGAGGGATTATTGAGGGCATTTATGTGAATCCTAACCAGACATTTAGCAGTACTTGTGACACTGAATAAGATCTATGAGGTTTTTAAAAAACTTTTCTTCCTGGAATAATAATTCTTCCCTAAATCTTTTCTGTAGGAAGTCCTAAAGATATCCTTACCTCCTTTGGATCTATGCTCTGTACTAGTAATGTTGAAGGATTCCTTATTTGAAAATTCTAGAATAAGCTTTTTATATTGAACTGAGCTTTTTTCCCCTGGGAAATTTAGCTTAATGCTTCAGTTCATTTATGGTTTTCTGTTAGTAAGTAGTTGTGTAGTAGTGTGAAAGTATTTGATTTTGTTAAGATCATCCTTTAGTTTATTTCAGGTAAAGTTTTCTTTGCTTTTTAGCAAAGTGATATAGCTTGATGCTTTTTTGTGTGTGAAATATATTGTGATATTTTATTGTCATTTAGAGTTTTTTTTCATTTAGGATTAATATAAACAAAATTTTCATAGAATGAAACTAACATTGAATGAGACCACTAGGGAGAAAAAGGAGGAGATAGATATAAATGATTTAGGTTGACACTAAGACAAATTAGAATCAGAGAGAAATTCATAGTATTCATAGCACGAAATTTATACCAGATATACATCTTTTAAAATCCCAGACGTGTTACTCGAAGGTTGAGTATAAATTGAATTATGATAAATTGTCTTGTTTTAAATGTACCCAGAGAGTTTGTTATTTTGCTTTTGCAAAAGTGAATACTCTTGAAACATTACTTATCCATTTAGTCCGGGTCTTAAATCAGAAGAGTACAGTATGGAATGGAAAAGTCTTCAAATTATTGTGTTTGAAGGACTTGGAAATAAATATGTAAAATGAAAGAAATTGTTTTAGGGTGATGGGATTTGAGAAATTTTTCCCCAGAGATTCTTGTTATGTATATAGCTTTTAATATAAGGTAATTATGAAAAAGTGAATTATAAAAGATCAGTTTTTCTTTTCTGAAATTGCTTACGTATTAGGAAAAAATAAACACATCATCAGATCAATTTTGATTCTTTTAATTTTACTGTAACATTTTTGGTGTATGCCTCTTACCTATTTTCAAAGACAATAAGGTGATTTTACTTCTAAGGCTTTCCTACTGCATGACCCTGAAGTGAAGCCAAAGCTTTCTACTTTTGCTTTTGGCTTGTTTACTGATCTGACTTAGTAGGACCCGCTTTTTTATTGTGTGCGCTGACACTCTTCTAGGAACTTCACGTTCTCTCTAGGTCTTCTGACAAGCCTGCAAGGGGGATATTATTGTTCCCATTTTACAAATGAAAGGATACATTGTTTAAGACATTTATAAGTTCTCTACATACTATTTTTCTGGCAGTCAACTAAAATGGAAAGTATTTTTTGGTGAGAAGATTGTTGCATTCCAGATTGTGGCCATAAAAGGGAGAGCATTAAACTATCATAAGTGAATAATGTTTAGTGTGGGCTTATTTTATACCAGGAAGTGTACTAAGCTCTCTTAAGCATTATGCCATTTAACTGGATCTTACAGAGTATGACTTATAAAAAAAGTTCTTCCCAGTCTCTTTTCTGTGTATGTCATCAGTTTCATGTTTCAGTACTCCATACCTGTACTGCATAATTTGTGTGCACTAAACTTTTTTCAGCTCCTTTAACAGTCTACGTTCTCTGTTGATTATAGACCTTTAGACAAAATGTTTCCTCTGCCTAGGACACTTTTTTAAAATCCAACTTCGACCTCCCTGCCTTACTCTGCTAACTCCTACTTTCTTTCTCATCAGATACACCATCCTTTAGGATGTTCTTCTTAACTTAAATTCTAGGAGAGTTCCTTTTGTCTGTCTACTACTTTAGCATTATTATACTACATTGTGAGTATTGTTAGCAAAACATAAATAGACTGTAATTTGGGTTAGGACTGTTTCTGCCTTCTTTACTGTCATCACCTCCACATCTTGGCATATTGTTTGTATACTTACTACTAGATAATGGCTGAATGTATGTGTTTTAGTAGAATTCTGTAGGAATTGGGTCGAGATCTGAGGTATAATACTTTCAGGTAATAAAGGGTATATTCCTGAGTTGGAAAATGACGCTGACTTTAGTGAAATTGTTTGGCAGTTGTAAATAAAGTATACCACTAATAAGCATCTTGAAAATTTTATAAAAGCCTGTAGATGCAAAATAATACAATTTCTATAAATAAATGCTTCAGGAACCAAGGTGGAATCATTGAAGTGTCTTAAGTGAAGTATAGAAGAATGTCCTGTAAGTGGGAAAGAGAAATCATAAATAGTAGCTGTAGGCATTAATTGAGCAGTTTCTCTGTGCCAAAGACTTTGCTCAGCACTTGGTAGGCATGTAATTTCATCTCGCAAAAACTCCATGGAAGTAATTATTTTTATTAACACTCCCACCTTTTTTTACAGTTATGGAAACTGAGGCTTGGAATGGTTAATTAATATGGTTAAGTGGTCGAACCTGGATTTGAACCCAGGACACCCAATAGAGCCTGGGCTGCTAACCACTCTGCTGTACTGCCCCCTGTTGGGTCTTTGTGATATTGAACGGGCCCTTGAAACTCAACTGGATTTTAAAGAGAAACTCACTATCTTTTAAAATTCTTTCTACCTACTTTTCTATTTTGAGGAAGAATGACTTTGAATCCAAAATTTCCACTTTGTTCTTACTTCTACATCTGATCTGTCACCTAATCTTACTGGTTTTATTTTCTAAATATCTCTGTTTCAGTCCTTTCTCCAGTCCCCTTCCTTTTTATCCTAATTGTTACTGCTTTTTATTTCTCACTAGGTTTCAAAAGTATTATGGTTATACTCTTTGTTTCCATTTTGCCTTCTTCCCACGCCAGTCCATTCTCCATACTGCCACCAGGGTATTCTTTTCTTCAGTAAAAAGACCAGAGAGAATAATGAATGTAATGAATATTCGTAAGTCATCATCTAGCTTTGTCAAATCTGAATGTTTTGCCATATTTGCTTCAGATCTATATGTTCTAAAATTAAACGTTGAAAACCTACTGCTCTTCTCACTTCTTGCCCAAAAGTAACATTATCCTAAATTTAGTGTTATTTTTCTGCATGATTTTGTTCTTTTCCTACATTTCTATATATTTATAAACAAAACATAATATTATTAACTTTATAGAAAATTATTCAGAAACTTGCCTTTTTTGATTAATGTTGTTTTTGAGATTTATTCATGATGCTGCATATAGTTCTAATTAGTATACTAATTATTGAATGATATTACAGTATATTACTGTGCCATTATATATTCATTTTTTCTATTAGTATATGTTAGGTGTTTCCAATTTTAAAGTGTACAAAAAATATTGTAGTAAATATTCTAATGCTATTTCCTCATGCATATGTATGAATTTCTTGAAGCTAAATACTAGGAGTGGAGTTGTTAGCTTGTGGAATGTTCATATCTTCAGCTTTACAAGATACTACCAAGTTGCCCTTCTAAGTGTTATAAAGTTTAGCTTCCTCCCCCAGCAGAGTTAGGTATCTGTTGCTGTATATTGTCATAATACTTGCTTTGTCAGACTTCAAATTTTGCCAGTCCCAAGGAAACAGTTTTCTTCCTGTGCCATGTCTCTGCTTAAAATTGTTACTGATTTCCCATTATTTACAAAATAAATTTCGTCTTATGGTCATACTTTGTCTACCTTTGCAACCTTTTCTTTTGGCACTGTATTCTACTCTATGACATAATGTGTATATGCTCCTGTGTATTTCCTGCTTGCATATTTCTACTCATTATCTAATGAATATTAATAAGTAGCTACTATATATTAAGACCAGGGATACAGTGGCAAATGGGATTGTTTATCTCCTCAGTAAGTTTATTAATTGAAGAGGAAGGTGGCAAATAAAGAAAAAAATCAGAAAATTTGCCCACTTCTGTGTTGAAACAGTATAGCCATAAGGGAAAGATAGACTGTTAAATAAATGCTGCTGGGACAGTTTGATTATACTATGTAAAAATCTGTATTATTCACAGCATACAAAAATCAAATCCAAGTGAATTAGAGGACTCTGTGTGTGAAAAATAGATTATTATTTAAAAATAAGGAAAGATTTTTTTTTAAGAAAGATTTTTTTTTAAAGACATAGAAAGCCCAAACTGTAGACACAGAGGTTTATAGATCCTACCCATTTTAAAAGTAGAAACTTCTATGAATCAGAAAGATACAATAAACAAAGTAAAAAGACAGCCTGTAGACAGGGTAAGATATTTGTAATATATGTAACTTAAAATAGAATCAATATCCAGTTATGTAAATAATTTCTCTGCATCAATGAGAGAAAAGCAGCTCGGAAAAATGACAAAAGATTTGAATAAACAATTCATAGAAGAGGAAATCAGAATTGCCAGCAAGTATGAAAAAATTTTTTGTTCATCCTTCCAT